GTATATACAGGGTGTCTATAAAAGAACTCCGGGGTTTTAAAAATTCATATCTCACTAACTATAAAAGATAGCAAAATTTAGTCGATTTCTCTGAAAAGAGTAGCTCAAAAAGTTTTACTCATACCAATTGGGAATGTTTGTATCAACTGTTGGCGGCGCTGCAGGGCGTTGACCTTGAAATGACGTCGCGAAATTTGAAATGATGGCGACTCCGCAACAAAAGGCTCAATGTGTTATTTGGCTCATAGAAACGAAGTCTTTAGTTACCGTACAAAGAAACTTTCGACGTAACTATGGTGTTAACCCGCCTTCTGACAAAACCATTCGTCAATGGTTCAGTGCATTTAAGGAAACAGGAAGTGTTTTGAAGCAAAAGTCGCCGGATAGGCCGAGTGTGTCTCAAGAGAAAGTGGACAGAATCCGAACTTCATGCCTTCGAAGCCCTAAGAAATCGTTGACAAGATGCAGCCTGGAGTTGGGGTTACCAAGATCTCAGGGAACGAATAGTCAATTGTGTGGCAACCGTCCCCCCAGACATGCTCGTCAGGACATGGGAAGAGGTAGAATACCATTTAGACGTCTGCACCCCGTTGTGCCACTAACGGGGCTCATATAGAACTTTACTAAGTGTTAAAAAAAACTTGATAATGTAAGCTTTTCAGTCATGTATAAAACATGTATGTATGTTTTTTATTTCATTAAAATATTTTGCCGCAAAACCCCGGAGTTCTTTTATAGACACCCTGTATTAGTATGGATTATTAATAATAAACTCATTAATAAAAGGTTTTTAATGAAAAGATGACTAATTTAAATTAAAGACTTGATGGTAATATGAGATCTAAAACACAAATATTTACCTCAAGGTGAATCAACTTAGAACAGTCAAAACGTACTGGCTTAGAAGTAAAAAATCTTATTTTAGTTGAAGCACTAGTAGTCATAGGGCATATGAAATACTGCTTTAAAATATCAGGAGTCTGAAATAAAATAAATATTAAAAAGAAAATACTTTCAATTGATTCAAATTAGATTTGCTGCAGTAATTTTGAACAATATTTTTGTGGTGCCACAATAGGTATTACATATTTCGTGGCTTTTAAAATTTCTTTAATTTCTTAAACTTACTTTTTTAATCATTCTTAATCAAATTTTTATTTAATAAAACGATGATTTAATTTTTACTACATTTTATAAAAAATAAATATAAAATATTTTAATATTTTCTTAACAATCAATATAACGGTTAACTTTTTATTTTAATACTAATGTAAAACTCATTAATTCACTGCCGCAACTAAATTGAACTATTACTATTTATAACTCTTTATTTCTTACCCAAAAATGTTGCAGTTACATGTTTATACTAATTCTCTTTGTCTTTTTGGTGATTCGCTTTCACCAAATTATTTTCAATTTTAATATTAATTATGGGAGGTTAGCTTTATTTTTTGGCTATGTTATCTTTCATAAATCACCAACCATGTTATCTTTCATAAATCACCAACCGTGCTCCTAACTGTCCATTATGACCAATTCATTTACTTTCAATTTAAAATTATTGACAATTGGACTGGGGGCCCTTTGGACCTTTCAGTCCTAACTGTTAAATTCAGTCCCAACTGTCTATTTTAACAGAAATTCTCAATGTGAAGAAAATGATTTTCTTGATCCTTCAGGGACTTCTTTCTTTATTTTTATATCTTTGAATGCAGCCATATTCTATTTAATATTTACTTAACAAATAAATTTTTCCTAAACGATTTTATTCATTTTTCTGGAAGAAATATCCATAAATCCAAATTAACCACTTCCCTGTTTTGACCGAACACCGTTCGGGTACTTGAAAAAGGGCCTTCCCTGTTTTGTCCGAGCGCCGCTCGTGCGACTAATTTTTTTACTCTATTGTAATGATTTGCCCAAATTTTGTTCTTTGTTTAGTTTACAATGTTTCTAACAGATGGCTCTGGTAGTCCAGTAGAGGTATGATTGCAAAAGGTTTTGGCGCTTTTCTTTTACGTGGGAAAAGGCGTGAATTTTGTTTTCACTAGCTTAGTAGAAAAGCCAACTTTAAGTAAAAATGCAATTTTTTTTGTAATAAAAATTAAAATTATTTCATAAAATCAATAAGACTCTTGATTTGAGTTTATATAATCAATTTTAACAGAAATTTGTTTTTCAAAAATATGCTTATTTTTTTAAACAATTTACCAGAAAAAAGATGCTGTTAAGCGGTTAAGATGCATCTGAAACGGCCAAAAACATGCTTAATACTACAATGATGCTACCCAAACTAACTACGAATTGGACAGATTACCGCAATCATAATTTTGATGTGTGTTGGACATTTTAACTTAGTCTAACCTAGAGTTCGCAACTGATATGTTACAAAGAACGAAACTGCTGTAGTTACTTTTGTGGAAGTTTACAGTGTAATAAGCTACTTTTTAGAAAAAATAATAAATGAAGCAGCACAAAAAAAAATCTTTAGTTATTCTTGGCAACACTACTTTTAATGTCAGATTAGTAAAGAAATAAGGTACAAACTCAACCAATTTTTTTTAAATCTAATTGTTGCAAATCTTATGTATTAAACAGTTCTAGCCAGCGTATTATACTTATTCATACAATTATTTCATTGTACTAAAAAAATTCCATTTCAATTGTCCAATCCCGAATATTGATAAATGCTGTTTTATTGCAAAATGGTTCTATTGTATTTTTTGAATAAAAAAACAAATAATAAAAATACAGAGAAATAGGCAAAGAATAATAGAATAAGTACCAAGTTAGAAATTTGAATAACTTACATAAACATCAGATGCTAAATAATCCTCATAGCATGAAGTCTGTCGTATTACCCATTGCAATTCAATTTGATGTGATGACTGAGACTCACAATTAACTAAAAAACACATATACATAAATGTGTATAAAGAGTTAAAGTAAAATGTGTTTGTCACAAAAAATTTGATTTATTGAACATAAGAAATGTCATTTTTTTTCTTAGATATCAACTTTGTAACATTAAAAGAATAAAGAAAAAATAATAAAATGCTTCTTTTTCTGTGATTTAAACTTCTTTGGAAAATAGAATTATTTACATAGTTCAACTAAAACAATACAGATTTATTAAAATTGATAGATAAACGGATAAATAGTCAACAATGGATAAATATTCAATATTCAAAGCAAAAAAACAAAAAAAATTTCTGAAAAAGCACTTAAATTTGTAATAACTGGAGAGCAAATTGGAATTTCGAGACAAAATTCACATTAAAATCACAAATAAAAATTACTTTTTTAATGCGACAAATTTTAACTTCATTACATTTAAACAAGCTACCAACCAACCAAACATGATATTTTTTTCCCTGCAAGTTTAAAAATTAATAATTCTCAAACTAATTGTGGGATGTTAAATTTTTTCATCCTGTCATTCTCTTTGTACATTTTAAGTCTTATTTTTTGTGCAGCAGTGGTACTTAAAATTTTTATCTATACAGTAGGGAATCGATTATCCGGAACGATTGGGACCATCGCTATTCCGGATAACTGATTTTTCCGGTTTTCAGAATAGCTACAAAAAGCCGTTTTTTTTATTGTTAAACCCAACTAAAAAAAAATTTGGAAGTAATCTTAAAAAGAAGAAAAAACGATGAAGTAATACACTAATGATTATTTCCAAATGATGGTAAGGTTAAGATCTTTCAAAAAAGAAAGAAAAATCCTAAAATCTTATGAGGATTTAAAAAAAAAATTAAAAATAGCGGAAAAATTTATCGAATTTCGTTCCGGTTTTCTGGTTTTCCGGTTATCTGATTTCCGGATAACGGGTTCTGTACTGTAATTAGAGATATGTAGTTGAAATTAAAAAAATTTATCATAATACTAAAATATCAATTATTTATTATGATCATAATTATACTGCAAAATTTTCAATTAAAAAAATTATAATTTCTTAAAATTGTATGTGTGTATAAAAGATTTTTAAATGTTTTGTTGAATTCCATGCCAACTGAAACCAGTAGTGAATTTTTAAAGTTTAAGCAATATCCTTGTATTTGGTATCATTTTAGGAAATTTGTTGTAATTTATGAATTCAAAAGTTACTTTTTGGAGTTATGCATGATTATAGTAAAATTTATCATAAATAAAGAGCATTCATGATTTTGACTTATTCTACCAAAAAAACTGTCTATTTTAAAGAAGAATAAGTTATTAATAATATTACGATTTTACATATAGTTTGATTTATATTGTAAAATAAATTATTCCTGAGTCTCATTATGCAGAGATTACCATTAAAAAAAAATTTGTTTTCTTATTTTTAAGTCAAAAATTATCTCAAATATATACTGCCTCTCTGCTACAATAGTTCTTTTTAGTTTATTTTATTCATTACACAAAAAAACTTTTTAACTTAATATTTGATTCTTACATTCAAGTCTATTAGAACAATAATGTTATGTTATATTTTTGAAAAAAAATTTAAAATTTTAAAGTTTCTCATATAACAGAGGGGATGTAACAAAGAGGACAAAACTAAATGTCCCCTCAGTTACACAAAATTGATAGGTTGACCATTAAAAAGAAACTATAGGAATGTAAACAGCTGCTAATGCATCTTGATTCAACTAGTTTAAACCAGTTCCTCCACTATTAGAGCACACTTTTTACACAAAACTGTGCCATTTTTATTTAATAGTGTGTTTAGTTTATAGTTAAAAGTTTTTCAAGTGAGTAATCAATATGGGAAAAACTGTAGCAGAAAGAATGAAAGAATATAGAAATAGAATGTTCCGAAAAAAAGATATTTGTAAGAAGAAAGATAAAGAATATAAAACAAAAATTTATGATAACAGAAGTATTTTGAAAAAAATAAAATTAACAGAGAAATAGATAAATTGAAAAAAAAGAAGACAAAGGAAAAATAAAAAAGCACTGGTACAAGCAGTAGACATTCAGGAAGGATATTCTCTTTATAATATTCAGGGATGAGAGTAGTCAGAAAGTAAAAAAGAGGAAATCCAAAAAACAAAAAAAAAGAAAGAAAAAAAGAAGGGAAAAAAAAAAATATATATATATATATAAACAAAAATTTGACAAAAAAAGTGCGATTTTTAAACTTGTAAACCATGTGATTATAAATCCCGATATGAGGCTTTTAAATCACGTAAATATGAAACTCTACATCGAATTTAAAAAATGCGAAAATACAAATCATGATTTTTTAATTTTTAGATCACGATGCATAATTTTTAAATCGTGCGATATTACATTCGCAAAAACGAATCACGACATTGGATTTTAAGCTCGCGTGAATATGAATTGCTACGTGGGGTTTTAAAAGCTCGTAAATACAAATCGCGATATTGATTTTTTAAATCTCGTAACTAAGAATCGCAATGTACAATATTTAAATCGCCTGAATAAGAATCGCAACGTCCAACTTTTAAATCAGGTAAATGTGAAAATCGAGGTTTGATAATGAAATCGCGATTTTAAAAATGCATAAATACAAAACATGATATTGGATTTTTAAATCTCGTAAATAAGAATCGTAATGCGCAACTTTTAAATCAGGTAAATACGAAAATCGATGATTGATATTAAAATCGCGTGGACAGAAATCAAGATATTTGCAGAGTCTGGACTTGGGATTTCTAAAAGGCTTGTTTGTATTGTTTTTGTTTAGACATAATAAATAAAAATTTGCAAGATTAATTGAATGAGCAAATAAATATTTTCACAGCAAATATACCTCTATTTTTATTCTCTCTCTCTTTTTTTTTTCACGCCAGAATACAAGAAGCAGCGACGTCAGAATTACGAAAATACGAGATATCCAGCCGATGGATAAAAAATACGGAAAATCTTATTTTCTGTGTGTGAAATCGGAGAAAATAGCCAATATAAGTAAAAATGCGGAAGGGTTAGCAGCTAGGGCGTAGATTGAATTTTCTGTTTATCTTTGAAAATCGTAAATAAATATAATTATTTTACTTCAACGACTGAATTTAAAAATAAAAAAGAAAGCGGGATATTTATAAAAAAAACTAAACTTTTAGAGAATCGGAGTTTTTGTTAAAAAGGCTGAAATTCGAGAGACCTCTCATCCCTCATTCAGCCTCATCATTCGAGAGAAAAATCTCATCCCTGTATAAAGGTCAACCAGTTTTATCCCAAGGAAATGATTTTTAGAGAAACTTCAGAGGGAGGAAAAGGGACTTCAACAATTTCCCTCCGCGGAAAATTAAATTCCTCATAAAACATTTTAACTTGGGCAAAAAAAATTTCAGCGGAAATTAGCGGGAAAAATGGAAAAATCTGAAAAAAAGCGGAAATCCGCGGAAGAATCTCATCCCTGAATATTCCTTAGGCATTAGGGAAAGCTATAAAAAAAGCAAACCATGCATTACCTGCATCTCCAAGAAAACATCTACTGTTTTATACATACTCTGTAACCTTGCTACCAAAACAAAAGAAATAGCCTAAGAACAAAGTTTCTGATGAAGCAAAAAAAACTTGTAATAAATTTCTACTCATCTGATAAACTTTTTTACCAGACTTCTGGTAGAACTGAGTGAGTGCATGATTGTCAAAGAAAATGGACAGAAAGTCCACAATGCTAAATGTGCACCTTGGGGAAGCATATCAAGTATCAAAGTAGATGCATCCAAACATAAAAATTGGCAAATCTATGTTTAGCTGTATTACGACCTATCCATATATTATGCAAAGGTAAAGCACCATATAAAATGTGTATGTGCTATTGACGAAAATGTGAATTTTCTATTAAAATCACAGTTGTTTGCCTAATAATTACATAGAATTGCTAAATATAGCGACTTGCAACAATCGCTCAATTGACTTTTTATTTCATAACCGTCGTTGAACAGCCGACCCAAATTTAAGTTTACGGCTACCAATGTTCAACTCTGTAGCCTTATAATTTTGAACCCAATCAAAAAGACAAGGGAACTCCGAGATCAGTACCCTCAGAAGTATTGATTTGTTTTGGGAACTTGAAGGACTTTGGGACCTGACATATTTAATGTACACCAGTCACCATTTAAAACACTGGGATTCCTTTGATGTTGCTATAGATAATTTTGCAAGTGTAAAAAGTTCTAGGAAAAAATTGAGTAGTTAATTTTGCTGCCCAAATAACTGAAATTGAGAAAGAAACAAACAATGCACTTGTTTTCTTTTTTTTTAAACAGGGTCTGGTAAAATTTAAAAACTTTTAAATATAACTACAAAGATGTAGCACGGTTTTCAATTATAGCAGTGCTAACTCCAACTTAACTGTGCTGCAGTAGGGCCATGGAGTGTCCGCCATCTTTGGCCACTGATTAGAGCGGAAGCCCAACTGAGGAGTAAAGGCACTGCCGTGTCGAAGTAAGGCAGTGTAGAGTCCAACATTTTGGGCCACCGCAACGCCGATTAGAGCGGAAGCCCAACTGAGGAGTAAAGGCACTGGCGAGTCGTAGCAGGGCAGTGTAGAGTCCGACATTTTGGGCAACCGCAACGCGGCACTACAGCCGCGCACGTGCCGTAGTAGGGCCGTATAACTGTGGTGTCACTTTTAACAGTGATATTTCCCTTTAACTTTCTGTCAAATTTGTAAGACGTCCTCTCTGTTACGATGCATTATTTGGACTTAAAAAAGGGGGGGTTGGAATTTTAAGTCCTATAATAATTTATTTTACCTTGAGATGTGATAATTTGAAAAAAAATTACAGATAATGTTTAGGATGGTCCAAATCACAGAATTTAGAATAAATAACAGTCCATGTGAAAAATGTGGGATTTTATTTGTCCCCTCTGTTACAAGTACTTTTAATTAACTTGTAATTTAATTATGAGGCTCTTTTATTATTTTATGCCAATTAATTAAACACTGCCCTCTAAAGTAGCATATTCTAGTAGAATTTTTGTTTTCAAAAATATTTAATATATGTTTTAGAATAAAATACTTGTGTGATTTCCCCTCTGTTATGCTTGGAATTCAACTTTTTAATTTGTTGACAACAGCAGAAGCGAAAAAGATTGCAAGGTAGAAGAAATCGAAGATGTTTCATATCTATTAATATTGAGAACAAACGTTATACAAATTTAATTCTTTTTCCCTCTCTTAAATATTTTTAAATTTCTATCTATATATAGGTAGTAGGCTACCCTTTGTGTAAAAACTTGTATTTCTATTTACACAGGTGTAAATTTATTTATTTTAGTTTTTGATATTATTGATTTATAAAAGATAAGTTATTTTACTCATTTTTCAGTTAAAAAGATTACTTTCCATAAAAATTTAGACCTAAGTTATACACTTAAAAAATTTTAGATACAGTTTTATTCCATGCATGCCCAGTAACAGAATTTATAAATTGAATCTGCAGCACTATATGCATAAATTCGAATTTGTCTGTGACTGCAACCAATCAGACAAAGATTATATTTGGAAAATTTCAGTTTAATCTAACATACAAAACATAGCAAATTTTGCAAACATTAAATCTTTAAAAATTAGGCATAAAGACTTTATGTTGTCAAAAATTTTAATTGAATTTTATTCAATGATACAGTACAGAACCCGTTATCCGGAAATCAGAAAACCGGAAAACCAAAAAACCGGAACGAAATTCGATAAATTTTCCCGCCATTTAAAAAAAAAATTTTTTTTTCCTCATAAGATTTTAGGATTTTTCTTTCTTTTTTGAAAGATGTTTACCTTACCATCATTTTGGAAATAATCATTAGTGTATTCCTTCATTGTTTTTTCTTCTTTTTAAGATTATTTCCAAAAAAACATTTTTTTTTGTTGGGTTTAACAATAAACAAACGGCTTTTTGTAGCGATTCAGAAAACCGGAAAAATCAGTTATCCGGAATAGCGATGGTCCCGCTCGTTCCGGATAATCGGTTCCCTACTGTACTAAAAAAGATATTGAATAAATACCAATGCAGTTAAATCTGTGCTTTTTTCTGTAATCAAGTAACAGAAAAAATCATTACTTTTTATTCTTTGCAATCTTACATTCCATTTCTATATTCTCTCATTCTTTCTGATGCAGTTTAATCTTAATTCAACTTTTTAATTTTCATTCGATATAAGTTTAAAGATGTTTTTAACAGCAGTCTCAGCGATTTCTCCTGATTTGTTTGATTGTTTTTTTTAAATGTAAAATATAGCTGAAAAATATGAAGATACTGTAATAATCTATAGCGTCTGCTGCCTTGCTAGAGATTTTCTTCTATCAGATATACATGAGAGCCTTTTTTATAAACACAAAGTGCTCTGTTATTATAAATTGATTACATAATAAATATAAATATATATATATATATATATATAAGTTACATAATAAAAATATTTATCCATAACTATAGAAAACACCTTGTAGGAAGAATTTAATGCTAGTAAGGTTTGTTGTAGAAAGCTAGAAAAAATTCTGCCAGAGGGTCTGTGTAGCTGTTTTCTTAAACAAATAAATTAACAGTTTGTTTTGCTCATTTTCAATTCATTTCATAATAAAAATTTTAATTAATAATAAAATGACTATAATTCATCAATATGTTATATTAAATTATGGTCAAATATAAATAAAATTTGAGATTCATTATCCATCAAATAATTTATAAAGTTAAGAAAAAAATAAGTTTGGTGCGCATTTTTTAGACTTTTAAAATAAAAGCTAAAAGGGAAAAATATTTACAGCAGCTATTTATCTGTTTTGTTTGGAAACTGAAAATGCAACCAAATTACATGTAATACTTTTATTTAAAAAAAAAATATGCTAAAGTAAATAAAAGTGTAATGAATTCTAAAAAAATTTCATTCTATTATAGACCTCAAAGATCATGTATTTAACTGGCTTTCCCTTTTACATCAAAAACTCTTAAAAAGAGAAAAAAATGAAAAAATTACTTTATCCAAATTGTTACATACCAGACACATGAATATTTGAACCAGCATAAAGTGGCTTATGAGTTCCAAAGATGGCAGCTTGCACCTATAATATATATAATTTTAAATATGTTACAATAAGAAGTTTTATTTTAATCTTATAAATATCTATTTCCTTCCCATAAAATATTCGAAAGTTTACTCCAATTTTCAAAATTTAAATTGTGTATATATTTACAGTAATTAGGAAATTTGATATTAATAATACCTTATTTCTAAGAGGCCCTGCCATCTTGGATTTCAGATTAGGTTTTTAATTTTCGTTCTTTATAATAATTTGAATCAAACGAATTTTTAATGATACAGTATCACTCTTCTTTTGGACATGCTCAATTTATGCCGATAGTATCGTTAATCGATGTAATGTTTTGATTGTAGTATTTTCGGTAGTTGTTGATATTAATTTTCATGTGGTTTTTAAATATTCCAATATATTTAAAACAATATGGAAAATAAAAATTGCGCACTTGAGTATTTACTTTTTAAGGCAATAATTGGATTGAAATTTTGGCAGTCATTGGTATTGATTTCTCCAGAGTTTCTAAATCTGATATTTTTATACAATATTATTTATTACTTATTACAACAACCTAATCTCGAAACGAAACACGCATTTGAGGAGTCCGATACGTGTAATTTTGTTGCTGATCTTTTATTCGGAAATTACTACAACGGATCTCATGACTTTTAAATATCTTTTTTTATTGTGATGATTATTTTCAAAATGTGAAGAAGGAAATAATTTATGTACCCCTCCCTCCCCCTAGCAAAATGCAAAAATATCATCCATAATATTAGATTAAAAAATTACTACATGTTCAATTAAAAAAAAATTATATGGTTCTTTTTTTTTACTGTAAGCACACCTCTTTTGCCAGTTTGAATTAGTAACATATATGTTTTTTATTATTAAAAACATCTTGCAGAAAGATATTAGTGCTAGAGAGTTTTGTTGCAGATAGCTCAAAAAAATTCTGCCAGAGGGGAGCCCTCTTAATTTAAATATTTGTATTGTACTAACATGTGCTTTTATTTAGTCATCTTGAACAACATTTCAGGATAAATAGTCCGGCTCTAATTAAAAAATGTGTCCTAAAATAACTAAGGGGACAACTTAAATAACATCTCAGCCTAATGAAAAAGCAAATGACAGCATTAACAGCTTTGGGCTCTTGCATGAGGCCCATAAAAATGAGAGTAAAAAGAAACGAAAAATACTTCAAAGCTAAATGACGCTTGAACTTTGTATTTAAAAATTACGAAAAAATAAATAAATATACAAATACTACTCACTAAATACTAAATACAGTAAGAGGACATTATTAATTTCTGATTAATATGTTTTAATTTTTGTCTTGATGAAACTAATGTTGTTTCAAGTATAATTTGGAAGAAACCTATGAAAGAATTGTAAATCAATCAGGCCAATTTCCTTCTAAACAATAGGTACTTAAATGGATGTTTTTTCTTCACGATAATTACTTATGCAATGTGTAATAACTTAAATAATATAAATAATTAAATCCTTAATTTTTTTTTTCTTTCAAGCTATTATAAAAAATTGAAATTAAAAAGAAAAAAAAATCAAAATTAGTTCATTCTTCCACATACTTAAATTCTGAGGGAAAAAAAACACTTTCCGTAATAACAGTTATACCTTAAGTTATTCTTTAAAATATGTATATTAAAGCTCTTCCTCACAGAAAAGGGCACTCACTCACTAAGCACTGTAAAAATTTATCTAAATGTATAATATTATGCAAGAACTGAACTTGATCTTCAACAGTTTTTAAAGTACCCTCTTAAACTATTTTACGCATATATTTCAAAAAGTAATTCTCATACATTATCAAAACTAGAGAAAAATTTCTCAAGTTTATAAAAAAATAAAGGCATGCTAAAACACAATATGAGTATAAAATTTTTTCAAAAAAATAAATAAATAAATAAACTGAAAATTATGAAAAAATGAGCATTTAAAGGTACATTTTTTAAAAAAGGTATTTAATTAAAAAGTAATTTGAAAATTTAAAATCAGTTAAAAAATTCATTAATATATGCATTAATATATTCATTAATTCATGCCCCACCCTGGAAATAAAAAAAGAAACTTATAAAAATTTAACCAGTTGAGAATAATCCTAACAAAGAAAATATTTGTAATAGTAATAAGAATTAAACCTATAAACATAGGTAATTCTACCACTGAGTAATTATTTAAACAGTGAATTATTTATTTTTTAAAATGTTATATGAGCAAAAAGGCACTGTTTTTAAGGAAAGGTGGCTTATTTTTACATAAAGACACTTATACACTTATAAAGAACAAAATGCACATAAGGCGGACCGTCCTTCTAAAAACGCTTAAGGAGAACACTTGGAAATTCACATTGATTTTTATCACTCTTCGGCATTTATTACAATTACTTATCATATTTTCATTTATTTCAACATCGTTTTTAAAATCCCGATATTTTTAATAAAATCTTATTACAACAGGCAACATTTTCAGAATTTCCGATCAAATGAGGGTATTTCCATTTAAAAGTCCAACAAGAAAGCTAGTTTGTTCCAATGCTTGATCCAGGATTTCCCTTGTCTACTAGATCGGGTTCAAAATTACAAGGCTACAGAGTTGAACACTGGTAGTCGTAAACCCAAAATTGGGTCGACTGTTTAAAGACGGTTATGAAATTTAAAAAAGAAAAACTTATGGCTAAATAATTGTATTGGTTTTATTTAGTTTCTACCGTTCTTTTTTTCCACAGCACTTTTTCCAGTATCCTAGAATAAATAGGTTTTTTTTTCTGGGAGCAATCTCAGCCTAAATGAGAATTGAAATTTCTAATTTTAGAGGAGAATTTATGAAGTGAATAACCTTACTTTTGAGTAGCTAGCTGACCACTGTCCGGGATCTGGAAATCCGTAAACAGCGTTATTAAAACACATATTAATGACAACAATAAGAGGTGTCATATTAAATTCATATTTCAGCTTAACTTTCCACATGCTCATCTTAACTGTTGAAGCAAACACTCCACTTAATACTGCTAAAAGACAATTATTTAGTCACTACCAATATAAACAAAGTTTTTTAAAGGATTGATATATTGATTGATTCATTTCGAAGCTTTTGACTGTCTATTTCTATGTAGTTCTGGCCGAGCGATTTCCTCAGTTCACAAAAGAACTGTTTTGGCAGCCGAGATCTGACATCTAAACTCGCGATATGCCATGCGCGGGATTTCCTATTTTGTCATCATGAAAGTTTAAATTACAGGTAATTTTTATTATTTAAAGATTTATAACATTAGTGTATATATTATTGTAGTATATAAAGGAATTAGATGAAATTTAAAAAAGATTAATGAATTTTATTAAATTTCTGTAAATGCAACCCTTTAGAATTTAAATTACTTAGTTCGTTTCTCTTTACGTGTAAAATTTATGTATTTTAAGAAAATCGTAGTCAGAATTTTTTTTTTTTCATTTATCAAAGTTTTTCTCTGCTTTCTTAGAAATCCTTTGTTTGATCTGTCAAAAATGTGTGAGGCAGTTTGGTAATGAAATTTCATTTAGTTAAATTACATGATTTATATTTATTTTAGTGGCATAATATAAAGTTTTCTTTTTTTTTTTTTCTGGGAAATAATTTGCTAATTAAAATTTATTTTTTATAGATGGCTCAATATTGAATTTTTTTTAAAAATAGTGAGTTCTTTGATCATGTTTAAAATAATTTGTTTCAATCTTAAAAAAAAATTCTAAACAGAAATCTAAAAGAAATTGAACAAATTTACCTAATATTTATCATTTTTATTCACAATCACTGCATTCATTATTATTCCTTTAGGTTGTCTTAAATATTGAATAAATTATGAGCATACATACTTTCATAAAAAATTTTATTCTTTATGTATCACATTTATGTGCAAAACAATTTGTACTCAATAATTTTTTTATTTAAAATGCATAATAAAATTACTATAATTCATCGGAAGATAATTCAGATTAGAAAATTAAGTACAATTTAAATTATCTGTACTAGATTTTAATTTGAATTTTTTCATTTAATTAACTTCTCAAACTACTCATATTTTTTATATCTATAATTGTATTTTTTTCATTCTGAATACCCTAAGTTTTTTGACAGTTAATGTTTAAGTCTAAATGGACAATGTAAAGCAAACCTTTCATATTTCTTCTGTCTCTACATAAAATACTAACTAATAAAATACTTTGTTATTCTTTTTACAAGGTGATTCCCTGGTGAAGTATTTAGCTAATTACTTAAATGTTGAGCGAAAATAGGATATCGATGTTGTTTGCACGCCTTGGAATCATTGTGGACAAATTAAGTGTGCAGTTGCGAAGGGGCGATTATGATTTTGCCTTAATTCATGTTGGTAAGTTGAAATGTTATTTATTTACATATTTAATGATTATGTATCTAAACTGTTTGTTGGCATTGTTTGTATCTTGTGTAATTATTTTAATTCAGATACTGATATTTTTTTTTAATATTACTTATGGTTGTGCTATTAAACAATAATTTATTTGGGATTTTTATCATATCCACGGCAAGGCCAAGTGCCGTCAATTTTTTGGCGACCTGTTTAGATAGGTCGCAAAGGGGTAGGAGGAAAAAGAGAAACCCGATCATGACATCACGACGAAATGGGGGAAAGAAAAGGCGCTCTCTAGGAGGAGAGGACCGTAAAAGAACGGTGTTACTGTCGTGATGTCAGAAACGGGTAGAGAATCGAAAGAACAGGTAAGGAAGATAGAAAAAAAATCGCATGCGGAATGTTAAAACGGGAATAAACAAGTACAAGCATAAATTCAAAAAATAAAAGAAACAAGAATAATAGAAAAGCAAATCAGAGGATAAACATAAATAAAGACTTACTTTTGAAATCTTCATTGAAGTGAGTAATCCATGTTGAAATTATAAATGAAGGTTCAGCAAACGTAATAATTTCACTTTTTTTTTATATACATAATATACTCTACTATACTTTGAATTCAACTATTTTTATAATTAAAAAATATAACTACAATTGTATATATATATGATACAATAAAGATTGAATTTAAATTCCACAAAGGAATGTCTAATTTTATATTAATTTATTTAAATGGATAATTTTTTTTAATATGAAAACAAATTATTCTTAATGCATAATTTTTTTCTTCGGTGTTTAAACATTCTAAAAAGATTTTTTTTTGATTTTTAAAAAAAAAAAAAAAAAAAATTGGTAAGTAAGTTAAGCATAAATTTTAAGCAAATTTAGGGTGTAAAAAAGAAGAAAATTAATATAGAAATAGCATCTAATTGGCGTTTATTTGTAGAATTGCTCACGATATGTTGTTGTTGAATTTGGATATTTATCCTTCAAAATATGGATGGTATTCGCAATATGGAAATTAAGATCCCAAAAGTTTTTTTTTATGTTGAAAGTTTGGGCTCCTTCATTTAATTGCATTTCGCAATGTCTCGAGAACTTTTGAAACGAATTGAAAAATTTTTGCACCTAATAATGAAATTCATTTACCAAAAAATAATTCACTGTCAAAAATAGTTTTTTTTTAAATTATTTATTATTAATAGTTGGAACAATTTTGAATAAATAATTAAATTTTAAGAATATTGATTTAAATGGTAAAATATAAAATTTGAAGGAAATCTGTCGAATAGTTCTTGAATAATTCTGTTGTATTTGACTGATTTAGTACACATTAAATTTTGTATTTTGTCATTTAAAATGACATTTCTTAAATTTTCAATTTAAAGTTCTTGCGACTATTCTATTAATAAATAGAATAATTAATACTTCTTGAAAATTATTTTTGCCAAGGAACTATTTTTAGGTAAATGAATTTTATTATTGTGTGCTAAAAATTTTTTTTTGTTCGTTAAAAAAATTCTCAAGATATGGCTATTTATTTCGAGAGTCAAGAATTCGAATCAATTTAAAATAAAAATATATGCTTTTTTTAGGAAAAGTACGTGTCTGTTTTTCTAATTTAAAGTATTTTGAGTCTTAGTATATAAAAGTTCTATCTTTCGATCATAAGTTATTCAAAGTGTTTACTTTTTTGCACATTACATATACACAAACAGAAGTTATTTTTTTTAAATATTAACTTAAAAGTTTTCAATTGATTATATTATGTAAATTTTTTTCGTTTTAATTTGAATAAATATTTTCTTAAAAAAATTTTTGATTTTTTATTTTGAATTAACACGTGACTTAATAGTAGATATATTTTTAATTGTTAGAGGTGGACACCAAAATATTTTCAGTGCTTAGGGCCTCAAGAAGTCTTAATCCAGCCCTGAATGAGCCCTGTTATGCATGCTCCGAAAATGGCTCATTTATCTGGTTCTTTAAGTTCTTTAAATGTTCAGGTTTAAATGTGACAACGTCTAATTCTTCCTCTTTTTTTTAATATTTTGTTCAAACTAGGTCAAGCACAAGCTATTAAAGCATAAATCTTGAGAAAGTGAAATTATTTGAAACAAAATTTTATATATATATATAAACACGTTATATGTCTTCGCCAATAAAAGCACATAGAGCCGTGATGGCTCAGGGGATAGAGCGTTCGCCTTCCAATCGGGCGAACCGTGTTCGAATCCCAGTCGATACAAATTCCGCATCCGGCTTGCACCAACCACAGTGCTGACATGAAATATCCTCAGTTGTTAGAGTCCTCTTGCCATCAGGCTAACCGTGGGAGGTTCTCATGGTCTTCCTCTCCATGTAACGCAAATGCGGGTTAACTCCATCAAAAAGTCCTCCACGAAGGCATATTTCTCCCAATACTCGATCCAGGAGTTCCCTTGTCTTCTGGATTGGGTTCAAAATTTCAAGGCTACGGAGTTGAACATTAGTAGTCGTGAACCCATTGAGTTAGGTCGGCTGTTCAACGACAGTTATAAAATAAAATAAAAAAGGCACGTAAAATCTTTTATTAAGTTCATATATAAAAATGTCAAGTTTTAAGTCTGTAATTCAATTTTACCAGCCGGCAGCGAGCTTATTACTTTTTGCTAAGTTCAACACTTAATAACTTTCAAACTAATCACCAAATGTCAATTTTTTTAAACTTTTGTTCTCACTGTACATTTGTCTACACGCCTATCATAATTTGAAATTTCTATATCTTATAGCTTCTGAGCAGGAAAACAAAGTTGATCTCAGACATTAGTAACCCTTATGATTCTTTTAATAGTTATTATAATATTTTCGTCAAGCAAGTAATATTTTTAAATGCTTTTTTTTTTTAATGAGGTAATTTCATGTTTAATAACTAACTATAAAAAAAATAACAATTCGCTTCTTGGTATATTGAAAATAGAGTTAAATATATAAGAGCCCCACTACCTACAATAGCTTAAGGCCCCGGTAAACTTAAATTCTGCACAGCTTGCAGTTATGCTTATTCTAATAACGTTAAGCCACTGGGAAGGTCAACAGAAAAATTACATTAAAAAAATGAATAAAAGAAAACTTTAAATTATTTGAACTTGATAATTTGTATATGCTTTGTCTTTCAGTTTTGGCGAGATTTTGTAGTGTTCTTCAGTACAGTTTTATTTATTTATTTTTAACCCCGTACGAAGGACAAGAATTTCGCTAGTATGAAACAAGATGCTGCTTCTTCCTTCAAAGTGCTTATAATGCTTCTAGAGGTCCTACTAAGGAAAAAAAAAAATTAGAAATCAAAAACATAGCTTTAAAAAACGAAAAATATGTAAAAATTTTCGTGATGGTAAAACGTACATTTTCTCACTTAAAAATACTCATAATAAATTTTCTCACTAATAAAGTAAAATCAACGAGAAAAGCAATAAATATTAGTAAAAAAAGAGAAAAAATTCATACATCGGTAATTACTAACTTTTTTTGCATTTCCGTTTTGTGCATGATTGCGTATTGGTGATTAATGACGATTTATGTAATTTATTTTTTGTTATCCCCTATACGACGAACAAGTGCAAATGAAAAAAAATAATGCTATAACCTCGCATTTTTAAATAAATTATTTTGATGCTAGAAGAACATTTATTTTCTTGAATGGATTCACTAAAATTGTCTTAATTCTATATATAATAACGAATAATTTTTATTTAAAAAACATTTTCAATTCGATTGAAAAGAAGTAAATAATATTAGTTTTGTCAGACGTCAAACAAAAACTTCGGGAGCCTAAATTTCGAAAAATCTAAAGGAATTTACGATGGTGATAGAAGTAAATTATGAGAGAGGCGAAAATAATTTTTCGTCACTATAAATTTTCTCTTATTTTTTTTTCTAACTTAAAAAACATATTTTTATCTTTTTATTTTTCTTGTTTTAGTTTTGTGTATGTTAGCAGGTTTGCGTCGGAAATAGCTCAAAATTTCAATTAATAAATTTATCTTACAATTAAAAGACAATAACAGAAATTGTATGTATCTTTGATGCTTGAATAACTGAATTAAATTTTCTTAATCTGTCTCATACGTACATGAGTGGCGTACAGCTCCTTTAGCTTGACAATAAATAAAATTTCAAATTTTCACTTCTCTTAATTTCCAATGCTATTTTTTACTCTTAATACTATTTGGTCCTAAATTATGTTTGTATCCTTATGGGAGTTTTATTTATTTATTTAATTTAAATTTCTTTATTTTTTAATCGATGTATTAGTTTTCATTTAAAAAACTTTCTATTGTTAAAATTTCTTTAATGCTACAAGATGTTTCAAAAATAACTTTTGTCCAAAAATGTAAGAGATAATCTTTTCTGGTATTTTATGCAGAAATAACACTAGTCACAATATTGACTTTCTGATGACATTTATAACAATATTGATGTTTTGGAAATTTTTGATGATTTGTAACATACGACTATGTACTTGACTTATTTTATTTATTATTACTTTTTTATTAAATGCAACTTTTACTTTCTTTATAAATAATATTAAAAATATTCATTGAAATAAATATAATTATTCTGGAATTATTTCACAAGTTTGATGTAGGATAAAAATTAAATATTATGATATTGGAGATTATATTTGTGAGGTTAATTAATAAGTTTAAGTAAATCATTCATAGTTAATTTTATTTGAAACTCTTAGGTGAAATTTAAATTCTTTTATGAAGTTATATTTTACATATGTAAGACAGTGAATTCAGAAATGCCAATTTTCTACGTTTTAGGGGAAAATTTCTCCCCGTGGTAGCCAAGTTTTAAAATTATTTATATATAGTCTCATATTGGTATAATTATTTTTTATGTGAAAATTTGATTTGAAGATTTTTTCCACACCACTACATGTAGATGATTAAAAAGTTCATATGAAACTTCTCTTTGTACCTCTTATTGTGATAATATTAAAATGTTGGCAAAATACCAAAAATTTTACAGTTTTTAGCTTTTAATTGTATATCACTCTAGAAAATATTTGTCAAACAGCATAGTAGTTTCCAGTGCAGTGAAGCCTCAGTTAAATTAGAAATACAAGTACTTTTACATTGATTTGATGCATTGCATTGATAGGCTTCGGTGTTTTCTCAAAACAATTTTATTTTTGCAATCTCGCAGACATAACTTCTTTAAAAAAAAAAAAGAAAAATTTGGGGAAAAAAAAAATTTCGATTTGATTTAATTTTCAACAACATCTACATTGCTGAATAGAACAGTGGCAAGAAGAATCGTTTCTTTTTATGCCATTTACGATTATACTTCTTTTTTTTTATTTATTAAGTTAGGAGTTTATTCTTGAAATCCAGGCAATGTGACTCATATTAGTAATATGCACACAAACAACATTTTTACGAGAGTACAAATGTTTTTAATAATGTAAATAAATGTTAAGTGAAATGAAAGTCGATATTACCGACAGTATACTGATATTGCATCTCAACAATTCGACTTAAGTTTCTTGAATGATATAATCATGATTGATTAAGTAAATTTCGTTAAAAATAGCATAAATATTAAAGAGCAAATATATTGGTAAAAGTTCTATTGCCTTAGTATATAAATACACTGTCATTTCATAAATAATGAATTGCAGGTAATTAAAATCTGATTCAAAAGAAAGACTAAGAAACTGTTGCGTCATAGCACTGCAACTAATTTTATAAGTATCTATTAAGTAATTAAAATTATGTACAATAACTTCTATATATTACTCCGTTGAATCAAAATAGTCATCTGTAACTTTCAAAGTTTTAATTATTTTAAATCTATGGATTGCTTTCTTAGACCCATTTCCTAAGTTTCCAATTATTTATTATTATTTGTGTAAAAATTTTAATTTTGTGTAAAAATTTTAATTTTTTTGTAAAAAATTTCTTGTATTTATATTGATTCATCATAAACTTTTTTTTATCATTTTTAGTGACACTATAAAAATTTGCACTTTTTGACTCGTATAAAATAAAATTAGTTTCTGAAATTGCAAACTATTGAAGTAATTTCATTAAAATTTTTATCTTTAAAGAAAATGAATAAAGTAATAATGTTATAAAATTTCATTGAAATCTCATTCATTCTATTTAGCACCTTGGCGATTGTAGTTGGCACGACGAATCTCAATTTGGAAATATTCCTCAGTTGTTGTTCTTGAACGAAGAGTTGAGAAATTTCTCTCGCTGAAAGATCAGAGTAGGCAAACCATTTTGTTAATTTTGAGAACGTCACTATAAAGCGATTCAAGGAAGTAATGAAAACTTTGTGAATTTTACTTGGGCTAATGTTCTGTGAATCAACTTTATCTGTAGATGACTGTATTGGTTAAGATCACATTCACTTAAACTGCCAGGGCCATATTCAACTGGCAAACATCTTTGAAGAATGCATAGCAAAGTTGCTAAAAAAGGGTGTGTATTTATACACAACTTTATATACTAATTTTATGAAAATATCGTAATCTTGTCTTGACATTTAGCCAGATCACCAGAACAGCAACAGATTTAGTAGTCTGATGCTGATAAGAAAAATATTCAGAATGTATTTAGTAGAGAGTGTTTTTGTTTTTTTCTAATATTCTTATTTGGGCTACTTCACACAATGTAGAAAAATGTTTAGATGCAATAGAATATTTTATAACTGGTTCTCTCTCAACGATTCTGGTTCTGCTCTTGAGGGACAGAGGGTTTGGGATTTTGAGGGAAGATTGTTTAGAGCATTGTCCCTGAATTATAAATACTTTTTCACTTCAAATGCTTTTAGTAAAATATACTTAATGAATAATGAACTGTTTCAAAATAGCAATGGCATATTGTTCGGCACTATAGAGAGATTATAAAAATTTGTCGATTGCACGGAGATGTAGATTCAACAAAAGCCAATATGAGTGTCTCAGTTGGTATCTTTCTCTATTATAACTATAAAGTTTTTTTATTTTGATTATTCGAAGAATTGTATATTATTAACCGTGGCATTTTACCTTAATTGTTGTGAGTTTTTTCCCCGACTGTATTGTTATAGTACAGTTTGCTTACTGTTTACAGCACTGTTTGTAAATTATTCTAAATAATTAAAGTCAGAATGAGTTAAATTATCTTTTAATGTTTATCAGAATTTGTCTTTAATCAAACCCTGGTTAAGAAAAAACCAGTTAGTATATTACTCTTATATTAATAAAATTAATAATATATACATTTTTTACATTGATTATTTAAAAAAAATAAAATTAATTCCTTTTGTTTTATCAGTGGTATTTATTGCATTCTAAATAAAACTGATTTAATGTTTGATCTAGATACTAAAATAAGTTTAGAAAATTAATTTATGATTTTATTCTTGAAAAGGGTTTAGAAAATAATATTCATTGAGGAACTGGTGATCTCGACAGAATATAAATGAATAGATACTAAAAAACCAGGAGCAATGCAATCAAGTATGAACAATAGACAAACACATCAACATGTACTGGCTCACCATTGAAAATCAGTGTGGGTATAACACAACATGCACATTCCACGATCAGTCATGGACTTGTTCGCCTTTAAGGAGCCTATGTGGCTGATTACCATACACGCCATACAGTTGTCTCTCGGGTAAACGGTGTGCACACCAACTGAACAATTGGCTGCGAGGTCATTTATGTTGTGGAAAGAAAATATTTCAAAAAATCTGTGCTGTGACTAACTATTAAATGTTGTGATGTAATGTCCTGTGATTGTCTTGTTCTTAAAGCCATTAGTCTTTATTTGTAAACCCTGATGGATGCTTCAATACAAATATTAAATAATTTTAATCAGATACTTCCCCTCTCTTTCAGATGTAAGTAACCTGCCTAAATTGGAGATCTGCAAAATGAATTGAAAAGAAGTAATTGAGCAACAAACCTAACATTGCAATAATTTAAACTCCTTTTTTATGTCTTGATTTTTAAGTGACAGATGTTTCAAATCCCCAAGTATGAGTATACTTCCACCCAAAAGAGTTGTGAGACCCCTCTGAAAGCCTGCCATATGCGTGGAAAAGGTGGATATGCGAGGTTTTTCCCCGTTAATGTGTGCTTATAACTCTTTTCTGGTAATTAAAAATGTATACTTCTGTGCTAAATGTCCCTCTTTCACTCTGTAATTCAAGTTGATTTGAACTAATGTATGCAGTCCTTTATTAGATTCACAATTTGAAGAGTTGTACTTTTATCTATATACTTAACCATTGGTTGAAATCTTAACCAGGTATCTTAATTGCAGTATTAATTTAAAGCAGTTCTCTTCTAGCTTTTGCCTGGATTCTACTGATGATTCATATTTGTCCCGGGGAATAGTCTCACAGCATTGTCTACTTAAAGCTTTTCTGTGAGATATGTTTACCAGGACTTGTTTCTACAATGATGTATGCAGATTCTCATTTAGTTTGAAGAAAATCTCTGTGCCGTAACAAGATAACATTTCAGTCATTGATTTTGCAATATGTATTAAATATAATTGTATATTTTTAATTTCATAAAAATAATTAAGCTCTTTATTTTCTGGCACGGTTGTTAGTTATTAATATAATTGAAGTCTTAGATTGGATTCTGACCCACTGCAGAATTTTAAGGTAACATGATTTCTATTTTTCTATCTAGAAAAATGTAGTCACATCTGCACCTTATATAATTGCACCTGCAAGCATCTTCATAGAGTCAGCTGGCTACCATACTCTTTGTCTATATATTGTGTAAGAACAAAAAGAGATATACATGCTTCAAATTCTCTGATCCAATTTGATTAATTTTTTTTCTCCCTATTTTATACTTTTTACATATGCTGTACTCATACCACTAAAAAAGAAAAAATAAATCTATTCAAAAGAAAACGTATCTCATTTATGAATACTTTCTTCAAGATGCATATCAAGAGAAAGATACTATTTTATAGTATACATATATCCAAGGTGCTACTACTATAATACTATAGCTATTTCAGTTTAAATGAATCTCAAGTTCGAATTTAATGCTACTATATTTAATTAAAATTTAGAAAATACATCCAATAGTACGTTTGTAGAAGTCATTTGACTGAAATATTAATAAGTATTGAACAAAAGCTAGCTCTTGATCTGGGAAAAAGCCAGAGTTTCGGGAAACGAAAAGCGTTAACTTATTTTTAACCAACTAATTTTTATAAATGTAATTCAACTTTTTTTATTTTCAACTAGCTGAATAACCTCTCTTCGAACAGGACTATTGAAATAAAGAAACAATAAATCGGTACTGAACAACGAAATGAAATCTTGGACAAAACTAAACGGTATACAGGGTGGTCCCGAATTCATGGTACAAACTTTAATGGTAGGTACAGGACATTGTAACAATGATTTATTGTATAGGAATGTATAGTCGCAAGTGACGTGGTGAGGCGTAAACTGGAGAAATAACGGCCGAAAGGAAAAACAAAGATTTTATTGAAAGCGTTGTTGACAAGTGTCATGTTTACAGTAAGTGTTCAAAATTGCGTCCACCAGAAGCGATACATGCTTGACAGCGTCGGTGGAGCGATTGGCGTACACGTTCAAAGATGCCTGGTATTTCACGCACACCTGCAGCAGCTACAGATATGCGAGCGACGAGATCCTCATCTGAGTCAACTGGAGTCTCATAAACAAGATGCTTTAGATGTCCCCATAAAAAGTAATCGAGGCTCGATAAATCGGGAGATCGGGGTGGCCAAGGGATTGGTCCACCACGCCCAATCCATCGAGCACCAAACGTGGCATTCAGGTAATTCCGTACATCAATGCTGAAGTGTGCTGGCGCCCCATCGTGCTGAAACCACATGCGGTTACGAATGGCGATCGGAACATCATGCAGCAGTTGTGGTAACACTTCTTTCAGAAAAATAAGATAGCTTCCGCCACTGAGTCGCGTGGGTAGTAAGTATGGGCCAATCAAAAAGTCGTTCACAATACCAGCCCACACATTAATACAGAAACGTTGTTGAAACGCATGTGGACGCGTTGCATGTGGATTATCGGTTGCCCACACATGGGAATTGTGCGCATTAAAGACACCCTCGCGTGAAAATGTCGCTTCATCTGTAAATAGCACATCACCTACGAAATCCGGCTGCAACGCACATTGCTGCATCACCCACAGGCAGAAGTTCACGCGGAGAGGATAATCTGCCGGATTCAATGCTTGTACTTTCTGAAAATGGAAGGGGTGTAAGCGATTTTCGTTTAACACTCTGCATACAGTCTGATGACTCACACCTACGTCACGCGCAACAGTTCTTGTGCTTGACTCGGGTCTATCAGCCACAATGTTCAAGATGCTTTCTTCCAGCCTTGGAGTGCGTACAGCTCTTAATCGACCAGCGTCATGTCTGTTGACGTCGAACGCACCTGTTTCACAAAGTTGACGATGTAACCGTTGAAAAATTCTATGATCCGGCATTCGTCGATCAGGATACTCCGCGCGATACATTCGTAACGCAGCTCTGCCGTTACCATTTGCACGGCCGTACATGTAATGCATGTCTGCTTTTTCTGCATACGTAAAGTCACCCATCGTCTACGGCAGCACAATTGTGAATGGCGCTTTTCCCTACTGCGATGCATCATTTTCAACGGCGGCTAGACATCTACTGCCCTCTACCGGCAATGATACCAACCGATCACTCCATTTCTCTTTCCTTTTATTTCCCCAGTTTACGCCTCACCGCGTCACTTTCCTATACAATAAATCATTGTTACAATGTCCTGTACCTACCATTAAAGTTTGTACCATGAATTCGGGACCACCCTGTATACTGTCGAAATTAATAAGCAAGAACATAGCAAAACCAGTTTATTGTAGCTCAGCCAATTAAAATTGAGATTAACTGTATTCAGCATTATTAGGTATAATATCGAAATTTACCATTAACTTGGAATTTTTGTAAGTAATTTTTTTAATTTATATAATTGCTATTTACCCATATTAAGCATCATTGGCGACAATAATAGCATGGCGCTTGTTCACGATTAATCTAAAGTTCAGATTTTCAACCTTTTTTACGTTGCCGCCCTCCTAAGGTTCAGAAAAAGTCTCAACGCCCCCCTTTGGGAAATCCAGTTATTTAGAGCATGGGGAGGGAGGGATGTGTGCTGAATTAAAAGAGGTGCGACGTAAATTAACAACAACAACAATCTATTTGTTACAATCAAAATAATTACAGTAATGAAAAAAATACACCTGAGAAGCCTATGCTTAATAAAAGTAATTTATTCTTAATAAGATAGTTAAAAAACTTATTCTAAAAAGTAGTATCAACGAAACAATCAAGTAACTATGTCAGTGAGATGATTGTGCTTGGTTCAGGGCCAGTTACTTAACGTTCGGTTCAATATTTTCAATGAGGTGAAGACGCAAGTCCCCTCTTTGCACAATTTTGAGTCAATTGTTTGTGACTAGATACGTCACATCACTGAATCTTCGTTCCACAAGGTAGAAGGAAGGGATGGCTATTAAATGCTACCTTGAAGCCAAAATTCTGTAAGACGATTACTATTTCAAAGCTTCATTAGTTGAAAGTTCTACCAATTCCATCTGAACCTCTGCTGTTTCATTATTCACAAAAGGGTTCGTAACCCATTAAAGGACTTCCACGGACAAAGCATCTTTAAAATGTCAGAAAATTCAATGTAAAAGACTCAAGGTGATTACAATATTCTTGTGTATCATCAGAGAGAATTTCACCATTCTTTATTCCGATAAGATTGGAAATTGGCTAAACTTATTCCAACCAAAATTCTGCTTCCGCGAAATGAGTTTTTTTAGAAAGGCAGAAATAGCTGATTTTGTAGTGATCAAATTAATCTCGTCACCTTGAAATTGTAAATTAACACCAATAAATTTTACAAATAAATCCGTCATGTATTCAAGGAACTCAAGCACAGAGTCGAAAATATTCCAAAACCTATTGAGACAGGTGTTTTTGGAAAGCTTGTGAATCTCAGTATGTAGTTGCAAGCGATTGAATTTTTCATCGTTCTTCTTGCGCAGCTCTCCGAATAATCAATCGTTGAAAGTATTACTGCGAATTTTCATCACAGCAGAGATCGATATATATCGCAATGGCTGATGCAAATGGTCTCTGAGATTGTTTCCAACTAAATGCTGTCTGTGAATCAAGCAGTGGACAGCTAAAATATCTGGTACTTGGCCATCACTTATGGGAGGAGTTTTCTGGGTATGGGTACCCAGAGGTCTTTGGGTCTTTGTCTTGGGAGGGTCTTTGTTCTTTTTGGGTCTTTGTCTTGGTATCTGGGTCTTTGTCTTGGGAGGGGTACCCCCTCTCCAAAATATGGTTAAACCTACGATGTCAACCAACCATTGCAGTGGATCCATCAGTGGCAACAGACACAATATTCGAAAGAGGAATGTTTTTCTCTTTAAAATAATCTTTGACAGTATTAAAAATAGATTTACCTTCGGTATCTTGAATCAGGTGTTTTGCAAAAAGCATCTCTTGAATAATTTTTCATTCCTTCATAAATCGAAAGTACGCCAACAGTAAAGCCTAATTACTTGGCAAGGTTGACTCATTAACTTGAAGGGAAATACGTTGGACATCAAAAGTTTGCATAAGGAAACTTCAATGTCTTCAGCCATCTCGCAAGTACCTGGTCAAATAATCAATGAAATTGAATCAAAACTGGGGAAAAAACTGAAAGGGAGCGAACGAAAACCATCACAAGAAACACGGATCAAATCAAACATTCATACTGAAAGCGCATGCACTTGAATTTTCGCCAAATGGCTTAAAAAGTCAGAAGCAAAAACAACTCACTCATGCCCTGCAATAGTTCGGATTGGAGAATAGTTGTCACATAAGTTCGTTTTACTGCTGATACAAATGGTGTATCGGATAATTTTACTTTATTATATTAATTTTTGATTTACTTTATTTATTAAATTAATTTTAATTTAATAATTTTATTAAGAAGTTTTAAAAATGAGTTTGAATGCTCATCACTCCCCTACCGCCCAAAACAAGTTCACCTCC